TGGTCCCATCGATGTTGTGCAAAATTGTGTGTGCAGTTTATGCTGTACAACATGTTGTGTGCAACGCATGACTTGCAACATAGTTTGTGCAGTTCGATGCGCGCAACATGTGTAGTGCAACCTATGCCGTCGATAAAATAGTGTGCGAGATGTCTGGTGCAATCGATGTGGTACGACCTACGGTGCGCAATGTATGAAAAGCCATGGACGTGATGCAAAGTATGCAGTACAACCTGTGTTGTGCAATCTGTGTAGTGCAGTTTACCTTGTGCATTTACGTGGTGCAGTCTATGTAGTGATTCATTTTGTCGTCCAACCGATGTGGTGCAACACATGTGGTGAACTATATGCTGTGCAACCTTTCTTGTGCAATAGATGTCGTGCAAAGTTGTGCAATAGATGTTGTGCAAACTACATGATGCAATCTATGTGCAACATTTGCGGTGCAGTCGACGTGGTGCAATCTATGCAGTCCATTCTACGTTGTGCAAACTATGTGGTGCAACCTGTTTCTCGCAACATCTGTAAGTACACAATACGCATGGCACAGCCAATGCGAGTCAACCTGTGTAGTGACATGTACGTTGTGCAGTCGATGTTGTGCAACATATCTATGTGCATTTGTCTATCCATGTGTATGTATGCAGGTCGTTGCAAATGTATACACATCGGTCGTGTACAGATCATGTGTTGCAGTGTACGCGGAGCAATCTATCTGGCGTGACCGGCGTGATGCAATTTTTGTGGTGAGTTATGTTGTGCAATCTACGTGGTGCAGTCAATGCGGTGCAATGTTTGTGGCGCTACATTTGTCGCGCACTTGTTTTCTACCCATGCGTTGACACATCCCATGCTCTTGCAAACATCCCACCCACCCACCCGCAACTTGGGTTGACTGGTGCACCTCTGCGGCCGCGCCAACCTTAGCACGCGCGCGCAGCGGCCAGCTAGTCTGGCGCCACCGACGCGGCCGCGGTGGCGTTGACCGTTGGGCGCATCCCAGCGGGCACTTCACTGCGAGTCGGCGACTCGGGCGGGCGCGGTATCATGGCAACGCCGACTACGGTAAACGCGATGATGATAATGGCGATGCTGGTGACGATGTTCGCACCGACGAAGGCGCGGCCAGTGCGGGCGCCGATGCTGATCACGCCGGCGACGATGACGGCGTCCTCGCGTCGGTGATGAAGGTTTTGGAAAGAGTTTGACATGCGCGCGCGGCCGACGCGCGAGAGTGGCCCGCATGGTTTTATTTGACACGGATCGTGCCCTTCGCAGCACGCGCGCAAGGGCGTGCGAATGATGTCGGCACGCGGTGTCGGAGACCCGCTTGGCACACTTCCATGAAGACGCTGAAAACGTTTAAGAATTTGCAAAAACGCGCTGAAGTATTTTTTTGGTGTTGCGGAGCCTTGTGTTTTGGATTGTTATTTAAGAGGGGGAATTCGGCTCTGAAGTCGCTGCGAAACCGAAGGTTTTCGAGGGAATGCGGAATGCCCGCGCGACGACGCGCGCGCGTGCACTTCGTCACATTGTTTCCAAAGGGTTCTCGCGACGGCACGCGCGCAAAGGCATTCGAACGTTTTCGACATGCGCGCGCAAAGCCCGTTCGGTTGCATGTTCTGAACATGTTGGAGCAGCTGGTGCTTTTTGATAACCCGCAGGCGCGCACGCTATGTTGGCAAACCCGTGTTGCGAAACCCATGTTTTTGTTAGATGGTCCGTTGGACACTCGATGTTGGGCCCCTTCCGAAACCGAAGCTTATTGTTGCAGGATTTCGTCACGCGCGCGCGGCGACGCGCGCGTGTGCATTTCGTCTCATTTATTGCAAGGGTTTATCAAAAACTGTTGATCGTTGACCAAACAAAGCGCGCATAATATGTTACTTTTCCGGAGGATGGCGGCGGGGGGTCGATACCAGCCCCTTTGGCATGATGCGAATTCGAATTTGGGATGGACGTTTGGGCAGAATCATGTGCACATTGCAATACGAAGCGGTGGATTGATAAAGCCCGGGGGGTGGGGGTGGTGGATCCTCATTTTTTTGGGGGAAGGATAACTGACCACGCTACACCGCGCGTGACCACCTCCCACGCTCGTGCAAAACATCCCCCCCACCCGCATCGTGGTCGGCAAAACTCATAAGGTCACGACTTCAGTTGCAGCGTGGAGCTCGTCCGCAAGTTTCATCGCGCTCGCTAGCCCGCGGGCCCGCGCGGCGCTGGCAAAGTCCATCTTGCGCGGGACAGCGCGGACGACAGCGTCGACAAGCGACGATGAGGTGGTTGGCAGAACTCATAATGTCGCGAGTACAAGTGCAGCGGGGACCTCCACCGATCATTTCATCGTTTTCACTGGCGGGCGGGCGCTCGTCGCGCGGGCAAAGTCCATATTGCAGGGGACAGCGCGGACGACGGCGTCGACAAACGACGATGTGAATAGTCACGACGGTTCCGACGACAATGATGACGATGACGGTGCCCCGCATGGTATTCTTTGACAGGGATCATGCCTCTGGCAAGTGCGTGAGGGCAGTGGGATAAGGTCGATATGCGCGCGCGAAGGCGTCCTTGGACAGGAATGTTGAACACAAAAACATTGGGCTTCCGAGGGATCCACAGGAACGCGCGGTTTGACATGTTGAAAACGCTGTGTTGGAAAATGCACGCTGCAATCGCAACGAAAACAACGATTGTGGAAGGAGTTCTTTGTGCGCGCGCGCATGTGGCCCGCGTGGTCTTATGTCATAGGGATTCGTGCGTTCAGGTCGTCTAAGTCAACGCGCGTGCGCCGCATGGTATTATTATTTGACAGGGATGAAGAGGGACCCGATACCGGGACTACTTTGGGTTGTATGAATTCACATGGACAATGAACAAGGGGCGGAATCATATTGTAAATTGCGGTACCCCAGGGGGAGGTAATCCCGGGATGGTGGTGGGGGTATACTGAAGTTAGCTTCAAGAGAGGAGAATCTAGGTGGCGACGGGGTGGCGACGGCGGCGACATAGCTGCCATATCGCAAACACGGCGCAGTTCTTGATAACAGAAGCAATAACCTTTTAGGTGCAAGTGCCGCTCGGGTGATCCAGTCATTTTGCACGCACGCGTGTATATACATATATGTGTACACGCGCGCGTATATACACATGTGTGGCAATGCCGCTCTTGGGTCCGAGGGATGTGCATATAGGTTGTTCGCTGGTGTTTGTTTGATACGCTTGCGTCTGATGCCCCCCCTCTCCATATTATTATCTCTTTTCTTCTCTCTCTCTCTCTCTCCCACTCGCCACCGAGCCGCAAGGACAAGGGCCTGACGCCACCGATCTACCCCCCGCCGCCAGGAGTGGGGGGCAGGGGGCAAGGCGCCTGCGCCTGGGGCCGTCGAGCGCGTCGCGGCAATGTCGGGCCCCGGGAGCCCGCGGCTCCGCGCGCGCGCGCGGCTGGGGCCAATCGGCTCACCAGCGATGGAGCCCTGCTTCGCCAATCGAACGTCAGGGGCAACGTCAGACGCCCATATTTTTGTTGGAACCGTGCTGGATGTTGGCCCCCTTGAGGGTCTTCACTGCGGCGCCGAGGTCGTCTTTCGAAGTAGATTTCAAGAAGGGGATGCCTTTTGACCTCGCCCTTGACGTAATGGTCAACAGGAAAAGGTGCTCACTTGCTCCAAAGAGCGTCACCGACCAACTTGAAGGCGTCATCGATGTTTCCACAGTCTTTCAGGCTGCCGACGACGGCAGTAAGAGAACGTGAATTGTCCACTGATGGGGTCGCTGCTGGCATAGACGTTGCAAGTTTGAAGTTCGCGAGCTCATCCTCCAATGACTTCCTCAGTCTGGGACCCTGCGCCAGAACCCTTCGAGTCGATGGATCTTGCAGTTTCGATGCTCGTGATGCGGATTTCGAGGTCCTCGACGCTGGTTTCAGTCGATGCCAGTCTCGACTCAAGCGAACCTCCCAAATCCGTCATCGCCCACTCCAAACCCAAAATCGAGTTTGAAGGGGCTGGATATGTGGCTTCATGATTTCAGCAATCTGAGACAATGTAGGCTGAGCTGCTCGTGAAGAACGTTCATCTGCCAATGCCTCAGGAGGAGTACCTGGATTTGCCGGTAAAGATATCTGCACCTCCACCAGACGTGGCGGAGAGAGATCCAGGTCGTCCATTTCGTGAAATGGACTAAAAAAGGCGTTGCCGGACGTCACGTTCGCCTCGGATCGGGGTTCTTGGTACCAGAGTGTTCGCCGGCATTGGATCAACTCCCAAGCACGCGAGAGAGAGAGAGACGAGAGACAAGCAGAAAATAGGTAGGATGTGGCAGAAAGTGAGTAAAGGTATCAGATGTGAGCCGGGATGTTTCCTGAGCTGGGATGCTTATTTGAGCGTTGCAATGTTAAAACATTTTTACAAAACAAACAAATGCTAAACAACGATAGGCGTTGCTTGTATTTATCGTTTTCAGTTTGGCAGACGCTCACATCGGAAGCACAAACAATTGAAAACATGCCCAGGGCGCTTTGGAGATGAGCCAATGGGTTGGGCTCGCCGACTCGCTCGGGCTGTCCCGCCTTCGCTCCCGCTCCCTGCTGCTTGCTCCTGCCGCCTCACATTGCCTGAAGGCCGGCGGCTCACACTGCCTGGACGGACGGCTCTCATCTACCTTCCTGTGTGATTTGTCCTCGGTCCTTCTCCTCCTCCTCCTCCTCCTCCTCCTCCTCCTCCTCCTCCTCCTCCCCCTCCTCCTCCTCTCCTCCTCCTCCTCCTCCTCCCCGCTCCCTGCTTCTTTCCCGTCCTGCCCTCTCCTTCCTTGTCCTCCCCTCTCCCGGTTTTCCCCTCCCACCCTCATCCCCCGCTCCCTCGCAGCTTTCCCTCCCTCCCTCCCTCCTGTCGCTGCCGACTGCCGACCCTGCTGCGCTGCTCCTTCGTAGCCCGTCCAACTCCGACCACATACCACTCGACGATGTGTTGTCCGAACGCGCTGCCCCAGAGGACCCGACCCCCACCTCGGGGGGGGTCATCTTCCCGCACCAGAGCCATCGTGTCCACAGGGCCAGGCCTCGGAGGGCGACACCGAGGGGACGCGCCTGGGCTCAACAAAAAAAGCGGATCGTCGGAGGGCTGGGAATTCCTGCCCTCGCCCCCCCCCAGCCCTCCCACCTGGGCCGCGGACGGGTGGTGGACGGCAGGCATGTGCCTCCCCGCGCCGTCGCTGCGCCCTGGCGGCCTTGGCGGCGCCCCCGGCCTGGGCATGGGCGGCCTGCCCGCTGGGCTCGCGGGCTTGATGCGCCCGGGGATGCCAGGAGCCGGCCCCCGCGTCGTCCCTGCATCGGGGGGCGTCGATGAGGGCGAAGGGGTCTGGGGGAGCGTGGGTAAGCGTGTCTGGGGCCACGAGATGGCCCAGATGTTCTGGCAACCTTGTGGCACGTCCCCAGCTCCCCCTCGTCCACGCACGTGCTTTGCCCCCCCCCCCCCCCACCCACCCCACCCCACCCCCGTCTTCCTGGCCCCCCTCTTCGGCGCACCCGGTTCAGAGTGGAAAGGGACACCTATGCTTATGCCGCTCCTTTTCTTGTTTCCGCCGTTTGGGGACCCTCGTCGCCACGGCCGGACTCGCCCAAACGTCCTGGTTTGGCCGCACCCCAGGAGGTCATAGCGGCAAGCATCGGGATGTTTCTTTCTCCGGGCCTCGTCGTTTCCGCCACTTGCCCACAGCATTGCTTGCACTATAAAGGGGTTCTCCCTTTGCTCACTCAGCCGGCTCCGCCCAGGATCTGCCACGGTCCCGCCCCTGGGCGCCCGTGGGCGCCCCTGTGCCTGGGGTGGGTGCGCCCGGGTCTTCTCTGGTGCCCGCCCGTGGGCGCTCGCGGGCAGCTGCATGCCCTGGGCGGGTCCCCCGAGGTCTCGCCCGGTGCCCGCCCGGGGGGGGGCCTCCCGGGCGCGCGCGGGCGCCCTGCTCCTTCCCCCGAGGTGTTTCGCCTGTTGCCCGCCCGTGGGCGCTCGTGGGCGCTCTCGGGCGCCCTGAGGCTCGAGAGTGTCTGCCGAGGTTTCGCCTGCTGCCCGCCCGTGGGCGCCTCGTGGACGCCCCGTGCCGTGGGCGGGTAACATGGCCTACATGGCATTGCTCACGCCGCATAGCTTACACAAGCAACTCACACTACAACAGGTTACATCGCACATCTTACACAACATAGTTCGCACCACGTAGCTTAGATAACATAGCTTACCCCACATAGCTCTCACCACATAGCTTACACAACATCGCTTTCACCAAATAGCTTACCCCGCATAGCTTTCACCTCCACGGTCCAAAACTCACTGTTTAGAATCCACGCTGGTTAACCTGTTTAAATGCGCCAAGCAGTGATCGCACTTGGGTCTCTTACATCGTTTTTCAAGGGAGCTGAGCCTGGGTGCCAGTCTGGCGGCTCACTGGTCGCCGTCGTTACCCCGTTGCCGCTTCCCCGCCCGCTGTCCTGGCCTGGGTGCCAGTCTGGCGTCTCTGTGGTCGGCGTCGCCACCCCGTTGCCGCCTCGTCGGCGCCAGTCGCCTGGGCCTTGGTGTCGGTCTGGCGGCTCTGTGGTCGACGTCGCCGCCCTGCCGCTGCCCTATAATGCACGTCTCTATTTCGTACGGCATTTTACAAAACAGATGATTCTGCCCCATCGCCCATCCGAAACATGAATCCATGTCATCCCAGGCAGGCAGGTGTCGCCCCCTTCCCGCCATCCTCTGCCAACAAAAAACAATGCGCGCGCACTCGTTTATCAAAATCATCAGCTTTCAACAATCCGTTGCAACAGATGGGACGAAGTTTGCGCGCGCGTCGTCGCCCGCGCAAGCCAACCTCTTCCAAACACCGTGGGTTTCTCAAGGATTTCAAAATCGAGTGCCCCGAAAACATACAAGAACAATTGGTTTCGTACCAATATGGTTCAAGCAAGACTTGCGCCCGCGCTCTTGCAAATTCTTGAGAAAACCATGGTTTTCTCAACGTTGTGATAACATGCGATCAAGCTGGCCTTTCACGCGCGCATGTCGAAATCGCCCGAACGCCCCTGCGCGAGTGCGGTCGCAGGAACCCCTTGCAACACAGGTGACGAAGTGCGCACGCGCGCGCCGTCGCGCGCGCACGCCGAAATCCCTCAAGAACTTCAGGTTTTGTCCGGGATCCAAAATCGAGTGGCCCGACAACATATGAAAACACATGGTTTCGCAACGATCTGTTCCACACAATGCAAATTTGCGACCGCGCTTTCTGCAAATTCTTAAGAAAACAAAGCGTTTGCTTTCGGCGTTTTCATGCAATTCTTCCAAAATGGCTTCCCCGCGCCGCATGTCGAAATCATTCGGGGGGGGGGCACGATCCGTATCAAATAATACCACGCGGGGCACTCGCGCGTCAGCCGCGCGTGCATGTCGAACTCCTTCCGGAACCTTCCTCACCGACGCGAGGCCGGTGTCATCGTCGTCGGCGCGATCAGCATCGGCGCCGTCATTGGGTTTGCCGTCGTCGTCGTCGTTATTGTCCTTATCATCGCGACTCTCATCCTTGTGTCCACCGTTGTCGACGTTGCCATGATACCGCGCGGGCCGAGCCGCCGACTCGCATTGAGGTGCCCGCTGGGAAGTGCCCAGCGGTCCGCGCCGCCGCGGCCGCGTCGGTTGCGCCAAACTAGCCGGCCGCTCCTCGCGCGAGCTCTCGCGCGCTATCGCGGCCGCGGAGGTGCAGCAGCCGACGCCAAGCATTCATCGCAATCGCCGCCGCATGGGCCCATGCAAACCAAGTTGCGGGCGGGCGGGCGGGTGGGTAGGATGACTGCGCGAACAGTGGAGTGGGTAACACACAGTGAACATAAAGGAAGTTCCTTTCTAAAAAGAAATAGAGTCTACCCCCCTGCTGAGGCCGAATTGAATGCCCCCCCTCGCGATGTGTAGTTTGCATGTAAGTATGGCCACTTGCCTATGTTACATATGAGTTCATGCCATCCCAGCCCAGCTGGCATCGACCCCCCCGCCATTTTTCGCAATACAAATACATATAAGGAAGGACCTGGTCCGGGGGCCGGGGGCCGGGACCACGACCACATATGCAGGGCCCGGCGCGCCGGGAGCCTTGCCGGAGTGCCCGGGGCCGTCCAGGATCGTCCGAAGATGGCGTCGGAACGCTCGAGAACGCGCTCCGATGGCTCCGGATGCCTTTCAAGACGACTCCCATGACGCCAAGAAGGCCCCGGAAAGCCCCGAAGACGCTTCAAAAGGCACCCCGAGAGAGTCCCAATAAACAAAATCATCGCTGATTTCCGATAAGCAAACTGATGTTTTGGCGTGTTCGCCGTTTGGGCTTCCACTGCGTCCAAGACGGCACAAGAGGCACCCAAGCTGGTCGAGGATGCCCCAAAAGGGCCCCATGACGGCCCACGAAGGGGTCAAGACGGCCCACGAGGCGCCCGAACCGCCCAAGAACGCCCCAAAGCGGAGCCCAAGACGGGGACGAGAAACCGGAAATTCGCGCCTTTTGGTCCAAGAGACCCCAGGAGACCCCAAGAGGCTTCAAGATGCGCCCAAGAAGCCCCAAGAGGCCCCCAAGAGATCCGAGAAACACCAAACGAGGCCCCGCAGACGCCCCAAGAGGCACCCCAATAGAGCCCCAATCAGCAAAAATTGTAGATTTCCGATGGGGAAACTGATGTTTTTGGCGTGTTCGCCTTTTGGCCTTCCCTTGCGTCCAAGACTGCCCAAGAGGCACCCAAGACGGTCGAGGACGCCCCAAGAGGGCTCCAAGACGGCCCACGAGGGGGCCAAGACGGCCCACGAGACGCGTAAACCGCCCAAGAACGCCCCAAGTCGGCGCCCAAGACGGTGACGAGGAACCGAAAATGCTAGCCATTTGGTCCAAGAGGCCCCAAGGAGACCCCACGAGGCTCCAAGAAGTGCCTAAGAAACCCCAAGAGGTCCCCAAGAGGTCCCCAAGAGACCAGCAAAAACACAAAAAGAGGCCCCGAACACGCTCCAAGGGGCACCCCAATAAGCCCCAATACGGAAAAGTCGTCGATTTCCGATGGGGAAACTGATGTGTTTGGCGTGTTCGCCTTTTGGGCTTCCATTGCGTCCAAGACGTCCCAAGAGGCACCCAAGCCTGTCGAGGATGCCCCAAGAGGGTTCCAAGACGGCCCACGAGGGGGCCAAGACGGCCCCCGAAGCGCCCAAATTGCCCAAGAACGCTCCAAGTCGGCGCCCAAGACGGTGACGAGGAACCGAAGATCCGAGCGCGTTCTCCCAAAAGGCCCCCAGAAGCGCCCAAGAATCCCCCAAGAGGCCCCCAAGAGACTTGAAAAAAACAACCGAAAGAGGCCCCGAAACAGCCCCCCAATGGGCCCCCAAAAAACAGCCCAAGAGAGCCATAGTGCGCGCCCAAGAGGGTCGACCAGAGAGCACTCTGCACGGGGTCCGTCCCCGGCGGTGCCTCAAGCAGGTGTGGCCACTGGAGTCCTCACTTGCAGAATGTTCTTGGTCGGCCGTTCGACCTGTTGCAGTCTGGCTATAACATACGAGGAGGAGGCGGAGGAGGAAGAGGGGGTCAGGATGGGAGAGGCGGAGGAAGCTGGACGCGAGGGGTGGGCCGCTCCTCGAGCGCGTTCTGACGTGGACTCCGAGGCGAATCCAGCAGTGGAGCCGAGGGCCCTCCCCCGAGGGCCAAGAAACGTTCAAAATCCGCGTCCTCCTCCTCCTCCTCCTGCTCCTCCTCCCCCTCCTCCTTCCTCATCATCGTCATCGGCGCGGGCAGCGTCGCCGCCAGTGGCCGTTCCGTTGTCGTCGCCAACTTGCCACTGGCATCCGATAGCCTTCGTGGATCAAGCATGCGCAGGGGTCGCGGGCAATTTCCGCTGCACTTGCAGCTGCTGCTGCTCCTCCCACATGGCGGGTCTATGAGCAGTTCCAGCCTGCGCGCCCATCCCGAGGTGCTTTGGCGCCCACAGATCGGGGAGTGACCGTGCGCATTGTCCTGCATCCTCATGGCCCTGGACATCCAGCCGTTCTAACTTTGTTCGCTACGCAGATCGTTTGCGATGCTCTGTGCCGTCTTGATTATCATGTGGTCGTTGATCATGGCCATCGTTATCATCCAGGTCCTCCTCACATCAATGCGCAGTTTCGGCTTCTTGAATTTTCTGCGCGCCCATTCTGCGCCCAGTGACTTGGGCGTTTGCGACGAGGAAGGCTGCGGCCGGAGCGGCTGCGACCCGGGCGGCTGCAACGCGGGCGGCATCGATTGCGGCGGCTGCGACGCAGCTGGCTTCGGCGCGATCGGCTACGACCTCAAGGGCTGCGACAGGGGCACAGGGGCGGCGTTGACCGCAGAAACTGCGACAATAGCCCGCGATGCTCTGTGCCATCTTGATCATTATGTGCTCGTTGACCATGGCCATCGCCAGCCTTCAGGTCTTTCTCGCGGCTGCAACTCGGGCGGCTAGGGCGAGGGCGGTTTCGACTGCGGCGACTGCGACGCAGCCGGCTTCGACGCACTCGGCCGCGACCTCAAAGGCTAAGGCATGGGCGGCGTCGACCGCGGCGGCCGCGACCGGGGCGGCGCAAGTTCTGGCGGCTACAACATGGCAGGCTGCAGCGAGAACGGCTACTCCTCCAAGGGCCACGACGCGCGCGGTCGCGACAAGCGCGGTTGCGACCCCGCAGGCTACGACGCGCACGGCCACAACAAGGACGGCGACGACGCGAGCGGCGACGACGCGAGCGGCTGCGACGCGCGCGGCTACGACGAGAGCGGCTACGACGCGAACGGCTACGACGGGCGCGGCTGCGACAAGAACGGGCACCCCAACGGCGGGCGGCCGCGACGAGCGCGGCTGCGGTTCCAAAGGGCTACAACACGCACGGCAACAACAAGCACGGCTGCGCTTCCGCGGGCTACATGAGGCGCGGCTGCGACCAGCGCGGCGTCATCCTCTCGGGCGAAAGCGCGGCTGCGACAATGACAGGTTCGACGCGAACGGCAGCGACAAAAGAGGATGCCCAAGAACGGCGACGACGGGCGCGGCTGCGACGCCTGCGACGGCGACAGGAGCGGCTACAGCAAGCACGGCCACCATAAGAGCGGCTGCGACGCGAACGGCTACAGTTGGCGCGTTTACGACTGGGGCGGACGCCTGAAGGACGGCTGCCGCGACGCGGCTACGATTCCAAGGGCCGCAACAAGCACGGCTTCAACAAGCTTGGCTACAACTTGGCGCGTCTACGACGCGACTGGCATAGACGCGAGCGGCGGTTTCGACACCGTCCGGCGCGCCTCCGACGACGTCGACAAGCGCGACTTCGGCTGGGACGGCCACAACAAGCTCGGCTTCGACGAGGGCGGCTACCGCAGGGTCGGCGTTGACTGTTGCGGCTAAGACTTGCGCTGCAACCGTAGGCGGGGCTACGATCAGCTTGGTTACGACGTACGCGGCTACGACAATATTATTGACTACGACAAGCACCGTAACCATTGGCTAGAATACGACAGCTACGACGCGAACAGCTACGACACGAGCGGCTACGACTCGAGCGGCGCGGCGCGGCCTCGGTCGCACGCCCCCGGTGGAGGCGGCGGCGCTGGCGTGGGAAAGGAAGCGCCAGCAACGTTACTATCATCATCGCGTTTGCGGTCGCCGTCGTCGATATGATACCGCGCCCGACTCACCGACCCGCATTGAAGTGCCCACGCGCCACGCGGCTTGGGAGACGCGCTGGGAAGCACCCAGCGGTCAGCGCAACCGCCGCCGCGTCGGTCGCCCCAGAGTGCGATTCTCCGGACGGCGTCGGTCCTCGTCGTCGTCGTCGTCGTTGTCGCGTCGTTGTCGTCATTATTGTTGTTGTTATTGTTGTTGTTGTTGTTGTGGTTGTTGTGGCTGTTGTGGCTGTTGTTGTTGAACATTATTAATTCTAAAGAATAATTATTGTTGGGGCCCCTGGTGCACGGCCCCCCTGCGCCGCCTAGGCCGCAGCTACATTTTCATCATTTTCGTGAGGAAGCCTCAGGTAATACGATGTGATCAAGATCCGGTTGTTTTGTTGTAATCCGTTTTCCCTTGCAAAAAACACTATAAAATGACATTTCTTGTTCTAATATAATCAAATTTCAAGAATCCCTTGCAAAAAATAAGGTAAAGTGGACATTCGCGCGCGCAAGACGAAATCCTTCCAAAAGCTTAGTGTTCGGAGCGATTTTAACATAAAAACATCAAAAAACCAATGGTTTTTCAACAAAAAAATGTCAAAATCTCATCCCGCGCGCTCTTGCGGATTCGTAGGAAACCCAACACTTTTTAAACATTTCTGTCAAACGGGCTTTTGCGAGCAACTTTTTCGAACTTCTGCGACAACGGTTGCGCACCTGCCAGGGCCATCATCCCTGTCAAATAATACCATGCGGGACACATTCGTTTTTTCTTCGCGCGCGCACGCCGAAATCTCCAAAAACCATTGGGCTTCTTAAGAATTTTAGCACCGCGCATCATAAAATCACACGAATCGCACCGTAGGTCCTCGAAAAACACCTGCACGACTTTTCAAAATTTCTACCCGCGCGCGCTGTCCGAATCCTAAAAAAAAACCAATGGTTTTCCAACATTTATGTTACATGAGCTCGCGCGAGCTACTTTCGCACGCTCTTGCAACGGGGTTCGCGCGCCTGCCAGGGGCCACAATCCCTTGCGGTTGCGCCATAGGTTGCGCCCTCGGATGTTCTGTGGAAGGCTTAACAACTTCTGTGGGTTAACAAGGCTTAAGAACTTCTGTGGGTGTACGAACGTAGGCTTAACAACTTCTGTGGGTGTGTACTCCACGCCAGTGTAGTAGCCACGGTCGTCCGCAGGCCACGAAGTGAAGTGTCCGAACGTCATAGGGCGGGAAGCTGGGTGTGGGTGGTGGCGAAGAGTCGTGTGGATATTTGGTAGAGCTTGCACTGCCCCCCCACAAAGTGGGGGTATTGGCTGGCGTCGCATGAAAACCCTGGCACTGGTGAGAACACTGAGCGTTCGGGTAAAGTGATTGTTGTTGTTGTTGTTGTTGTTGGTGTTGTTGGTGTTGTTGTTGTTGTTGTTGTTGTTGTTGTTGTTGTTGTTGTTGTTGTTGTTGTTGTTATTGCTGTTGTTGTTGTTGCTGTTGTTGTTGTTGTTGTTGTGGTTTTGTTGTTGTCGTTATCGTTGTTGTCATTGTTATCGTTGTTATCGTTGCTATCGCTGTTATCGTTGTTATCGTTGTTATCGTTGTTATCGTTGTTATCGTTGTCGTCGTCGCGGCCGCTGCCGCCGCCGCCGCCGCAGTCGCCGTCGTCGTTTTCCGCCTCTTGGTTTCTCTCTTCTGGGCCGCCCTGTTTCGGTGGGGGCTGGAATATCCATCCACCCTCAGTTCTTCAGGGGTGGATAGCTTCGTGCGCCATACTTTAATGTTCCGCCTGACCCGACCCGCCCCTCACGGTTCTCCCGCCCGCCCGACACGCCCGCGAAGGTTCTCGCGTGCCAGACGGACCCGGCTCGAGGAGGCCCCCGGTTTTGATGCATCGCATCTTCCTGATTATGGATTACCTATTCGGTGTTTCATTGGGCGTTCTGTTTCGGTACATCACATCTCCCGGATTCCAGATTCTGCATTCGAGCAGGCTCCCGGCCGTCTTTGCTGCATCGCATTTTCCGGATTCTTGACTCGAGAAGGCTTACGGTTCTGATGCATAGCATGTTCCGGATTCCGGATCCGATCTCTCAGGAGGCTTCCGGCTCTGATGCATCGCACCTTTTGGATTCTGGTTTCGAGGAGGCTCACGCGAGTCTGATGCATAGCGTGTTCCAGAATCTGAATTTCAGGGTCGGCTTCTCAGAAGGCTCCCCGCTCTTGTGCATCCCGTCTTCCGGATTTAGATTCGAGGAGGCTCTGATGCATCGCATTTTCCGGATTCCAGCTTCTGGATCGAATTCTTCGGCTGGACTCTCCGGACCACCTCTCGCGGCGCCCCATACGTCATGGCGAGAAGAGACCACGCACACACCCTTATTTTTCGCACTTCCCCCCCTCGCTCGCCGCCGATCCATGCTTGATGGTCCCAGGCCCGATAACAGGCCGCGGAGGCCAATATCGAGGAGAGAGCGCCTGGATGGAACAGGTCACATCGTCGGAGGTCTGGGCCCCCTCCCCCGCGGAGGATTCCCAGGACTCGGAATGCCCGGGAGGCCGGGCCTGCCGGGGCTGGGCGGCAGCTTGCCAGGCCCGTCGGGGGCTGCCGCCGCCGCACGGCAGCACGAGGGAGGAGCTCTTGGCTGCAGCGGTGGACTCCCGATCGGAGACGCCCACGTTCGGGGGTGGACAGAAGCCCCAACAGTGACACGTCGATTAGTGAATTGTCCGTTTTCGGTTCTCGAGAGGGCGCCGTGGCCGCTATTTTCCAGGCTTGCGCCCGCCAGGTTTGGGCCTCAGGTCGTTTTCACTAAACCACATTTTACTAAAGGTGGGTCTGTCCATCCCCGACACGTGAGTCACCATTACCTCCGGCCCAATGTAGGGCCAGACTTTTGGCCAAAGCCTGGCCAGACTTGTGTGTGTTCCCCAGCCGTTGCAGAAGCTTTGGGCAAACACTTTGGGGAGGAAGAGGGAGAATATCAGGAGAGGGAGCAGAAGAAGGACGAGGAGAAGACCTCTTTGGGCCATCTCGACTTGGGGTCTCTTGGGAGGTTTGTTGGGGGCAGTGGTGGGCTCCTGATCATGGGACTCGGTCGACCTCGTTGATTCCGCTTGGGTTCTGCATGAGTTCTGGGGGGAATTACATTTGGATTATCCCTCGGGCGATCCAATGTGCGTTCTCACTATTTCTCTTTATGTATATTTATATATATGTATATATATATATATATGTGTGTGTATGAGTGTTTGTCTGTATTTTTGTGTGTCTCTCTCTCTCTCCCTTTCTCTATACATGTATCTCTGTTTGTCCCAGAACCGCTTGTCTGTAAGGGTCCTCTAGAATTATTCCAAGAAGCCGAGTACCCGGATCGCTGGATTTGGAATCGGTCGGGCGCATTGGTATCCCATGGTTTCCCTTGGCCTTCGTTGGTCTCCCATAGTGTAAGCGTCCTTAATGTTCGCATGTGTATCATTTTTCGTTTTGGAACTCGTAACAATATGGCCTTTCTCGCCCCGGTATCATTGAGAGCTGATTGAAATAGACGAAGATGCATAGATTGAAACAAGGCGGGCAACCTGGATGAACAGAGAGATCTCTGGAAGCAAGTGGGTGGGCTTAAAGGGCCTCTTCGGGCCATCGCTGGGGCTGGGTGGGGGCCAGGGGAGGAAAAGGAGGAGGAGGAGAAGGGAAGAAAAGAGAAGAGAAGAGAAGAGGAGGAGGAGGAGGAGGAGGAGGAGGAGGAGGAGGAGGAGGAGGAGGAGGACGAGGAGGCAAACCGCCTCTTGGGGCCCTCGTGGGACGCGCTTGGGCGCTCTTGGGGCCGTCTTGGGGCCATATTGGGGTCCTCATGAGGCTCTCTTGGGGCTCTCTCGGGGGCCCTCTAAGGCCTCTTGGGGCGTCGATCAAAAGGAGGGGGGGGTCCTTTACTACCCCCTATCGCCACTTGGGGCGCTCTTGGGGCCGTCTTGGGGGCTTCTTGGGCCCCTCTTGGGGCTCTCTTGGGCCACCTTGGGGCAATCGGAAGTATCGGAGGCGACAAGGCGAGAAGGCACAATTAAGTGATGTTCCTGAGGTGTTTGAAGGATGTTTGCCTCTTGGGGGGGTCCTGAGGGGACTCCGAGTGCACTTGGAACCGTCTTGTGGCACTCGCCGGGCCTCTTGGAGGTAGGTCCGAAGCTGTATTCAACCATGTTTGACTATCTGGAGCCGCCTTGGAGGCCATCTTTGAGCATCGAAGGCCCTCTTGGAGCCATCTTGGGCGAAAACAGACCCTCTGCCGCCTCGACCCCCCACCAAACATAAGACAAACACCGTCAGGGAGGGGAGTGGGAGGGCACCCCTCTCCGAAGAGGAGAGGGTTTGGGACCAGGAAATTACAAGTGGTACGCGTGCCCTGGCTCTTGCACATTTGAGGAGTGAAAGAGGAGGAGGGGCATGTGGGGGGCGAGAGGGCCAGGGGATGGGGGGCCAGAGCCAGGGGGACGGAACCACGAAAATAAAGGGTCCGGGGCGAGGGGAGCTGGGGCCAAGGCCAGTGTCGGGGCGAGTGGGGGTCCAGGGCCAGGGCAGCGAGTCTGAAGCTCGGACCAGGGGCCAGAGGTCCGGGTTCGAACCACGAAAATACAAGGGCCGGGGCGAGGAGGGCAGGGGCTAGGGCCAGGGGACGCCAGAGGCAAGGAGGGAGGCTGGATTCAGGGCCAGGACAGGAGGACGGGGGCGTGGGGGCCAGGGGAAGCAGGCCAGAGCCAGGGGGACGACGACGAACCACGAAAATAAAGTGTCCGGGGCGAGGGGGGGGCGCCAGAGCCAAGGAGGGAGGCTGGGTTCAGGGCCAGGGCAGGAGGACAGGAGGCGAGGGGGCCAGGGGAAGCAGGCCAGAGCCAGGGGGACGACGACGAACCACGAAAATAAAGGGTGCGGGGCGAGGGGGGCCTGGGCCAGGGCCAGGGGACGCCAGAGGCAAGGAGGGAGGCTGGGTTCAGGGCCAGGGCAGGAGGACGGGGGCTCGGACCAGAAGCCATACAGTGGGGGCGCGTACTAAGAAACCGGATGTTTCTCATCAGGGCACCGCGATGGTTTCCCGCGGGCGTCAAGAAACTCTCGCGTTCAGGAGACCCTGGGTTTCATCCCAATCCCACCTCGCAGAAGCAACGCCACGTCACCGAAGAAACCTCGCTGCGCCGAAGGTACCTTGAATTTATTGCATTCGCGCGGAATCGGAGGGCCAATCGCGAAATCGATAGAAAACCTCGACGCCGAAGAAACCTCACTACGCCGAGGGCACTTTGAATGTATTGCATCTGCGTGGATTCGGAGGGCCAACTGCGAAATTACTACTCGCGTATTTTCCTGGCACGACCCGCGAAGAGACTTCTCGGGCCAGGGCTCCCTGGGCTTCTCCGCTCCGAGCCCCTTGCCGAGAAGCCCAGGTTTCTTGCGACGGTTTCTTGCGGCCGTGCGCCCACTGTAGGTCGGGGTTGGGGCGCAGGGAGAAGACGGCGAGGATAGGAAGCCAGAGCCAGGGGGACGACGACGAACCACGAAAATAAAGAGGTCCGAGCTCTAGAACACAACTGTGCAAGATAATAAAAGAACTCGTAGAGGGCTGGTGGGATATGCAGTACCAGGCCATATTTTACCATCTCTTGTTCCCATACACTTTGATAGAGGAAACTCTCTTGTACACCACACTACACAAACACACACACGCCGATACACAACATTTTAGTGTGACCGTATTCTGCGATTTGCTGTTAGAAATTGTGGCCACTCTATGTGTTTCAGTTAATGCACTCTTACAGCCAAGTGTTTAAGGCTGCTCAGGGTCTTCTGTCGCAGGGGCGTAACATATGGTGTGTGTTTGTGTTAGTTCCTCCCTCTCGCTCTCTATCTCTCTCTCGCTCTCTCTCTCTCTATATATATATATATCCCTCTCTCCCTCAGCCGTCCTCTGTTCCACACGTCCTGCACTTTAGTGGTGTTGACTGTATGATGGCTTTATTGCGATAGGGTGATGAATTGCAGAGCATGAGAAAGGAAGGAGGGAGGGGGGAGGAGGAGTCGATGGAGCAAGCAGAGGATGAATGATGAGGAGGAGGGACCGGGAAACATCGATGCTGATGACGATGGTGGTAATCGGGGAGGATTATGAGGACGATGATGATAACGGGTTGTGATGATGATTGATATGTTGTCGATGATTGTGAGTGTATTGATGATGAGATTGTTGGTAATGATGATGGTGGTTTTGTTTTGTGATGGTGGTGATGAGGCGCAAGAGTGGCGGAGTGGAGTCGAAGAAGACGAGGAGATTGACGATCACGAGAACGAGATGTGGACTCGGATGAGTGAGCAAGGACAAATGACGACGAAGGAAAGGTAGGGAGAAAGCAGGAGGGTGAGGAGGTTCATGAGGCAGACTAGGTCGAGCAGCAGCAGCAGCAGCAGCGGGCGGCGCGGAGGAAGCGTGAACAGCAGAATACACATAGCAGGTGGAGGAGGAGGAGGAGGGCGCCTTGAGGGTCCGCGATAGGGCGGCCCGTGGAACAACTCGGGAGGGGCCAGTTTCAGTCTCTCCGCGATGCGCTCGCGGAGGGCGGGGAAGACGGAGCGCAGTAAGAAAGCAAGGCGAGGCAGGGAGTTAAGAGCGTCCTCCTCCCATCTCTCACCTAATCCTCGGGGGTGTGATCTGTCGGTCGCACACACGCGGCAGTCTTCTGCGCGACTCCAGCGTCCAAACAGGTTACTTTTGACTGGCTTACCCCACTTGATCTCGTTTGGCATTCCCCCCCAGACTTCGACTCCGCAGTCGGCTCTCGAACAGGCTCATATTCAGATACGGCGGGGGGGGGCTGTTTCTTCCCAGGCTACGGCCAGGCTGTGGCCGTGTTACAAGGAGCCGGGTCCTGAGGTCCAGGATGTCGTTGCCGGTCTCTTAGCCACAATTTTCCTACAGTATACGCCTCAGGGGCGGTCACCATGACGTGGTTGACGGTCTCGATGTGTTTGCAGATGCGTTTGTCCAGATTATGAGTCTCAGGATATCGTAGGCAGGTTTATGTGTCAGCAGTGCTTAAGGGAGCGCTTCGGCATCAATGGACGCGCTGAATCAATTATGGCCCGTGATGGGTCAGCCCGGCGCTTCCTGCTCTTGGCCAGGAATCCGTCGCATGGTAGGACCTTGCAGATCCGGAACCTCGACATCTCATGTTTCTGGAGGGAGGACCAGTCCCTCTCGGAGTATCAGTTCACTTCCACACCTCCTCCTTGGTCACGGCATTCGGTTCGGGGCGCGCCGCGCCCTGCGGATCGCGCGACGCGCGCAGTCGGGCGGCCAGGAGAGATCACGAGGCGGCCGTTCTGACGCATGGCGCCGGGTCGGGCTGACTGCCACGGGGGGACAGGGCTGACTGGTCCACCACCGGCTGGCCATCACATTAAGGTGTCTTGTTGTGGTTGGGTAGTTCTGCTGCCACTCAACCAGGAGACTAGCTAGAGCAGGTTGTTCCGTTGTGTCTTTGCCATGCTACGCTAAGCGATGCTTTGCCCCCCCCGCCCCCCCTTGGGGGGGGCGGGGGGGGCAGTGCACGCGGGGGGGGCGCGAAACGCAGGAAAGTGGCCTAAAGAAGCCCCACATGGCCCTTGCGCCGCCACCGCGGGTCTAAGAGGTGCGCGAGAGACGCACGTTTCTTCACCCTCGTCTATTGCTTCCCCTTCCTCCCGTCAGCGAACACCTGGGGGCGAATCATGCCGCCGCGTCTTGCTGATGTGGCTCCCTCGTGCTCACTGTCCACTCTGGCGGGCGCTCGGCGCGGAGATTGGGTAACGGTATACGTTCGTGCACTTGGCAGTTCGGGGGACGTGAACCCCAGGGCGATCTTGCGCCCAGGATCGGTGTCTACGCCTGCCTGACGCACGCACGCCCGTACGCACGCACGCACGCACGCACGCACGCACGCACGTACACACACACATACACACACAAACACACACACACACACCACGCACACACGCGCACACAGACACGCACGCCCGCACGCACGCCCGCACGCCCGCACGCGCGCCCGCACGCACGCACGCACGCACGCGCACGCACGCACGCACGCACGCACACACACACACACACATACACACACAAACACACACACACCACACCACGCACACACGCGCACACACACGCACGCCCCACACACACACACACATGCACACACGCACATACACACGCACGCACGCACGCCCGCACGCCCGCGCCGCACGCCCGCCCGCCCGCACGCACGCACACGCACACGCACACGCACACGCACACGCACACGCACACGCACACGCACACACACACACACACACACACACGCACACGCACACGCACACGCACACGCACACGCACGCACACACACACACACGCCCCCTCCCCCCCCCCCCACACACACACACACACACACACACGCGCGCACCCACGCACGCACGCACGCACGCACGCGCACACACACAAACACAAACACAAACACGAACACAAACACAACCAAACACAACCACACACACACATTCGCACACACGCAAACACACACAAACACAAACACACAAACACAAACACACACACACACACTCACTGACACACGCACGCACGCACGCACGCACACACGCACACACGCACACACGCACACACGCCGCACGCACGCGCGCGCACGCGCGCACGCACGCACGCACGCATTTGCGCGCGCATTCACGCACTTGCGCGCGCACGCACGCCCGCACGCACGCCCGCACGCATGCACGACCGCACGCACGCATGCACGCCCGCCCGCCCGTACGCCCGCCCGCCCGCCCGCCCGCCCGCCCGCCTTCCCACACGCCCGCACGCACGCACGCACGCACGCACTCGCGCGCGCACGCACGCACGCACGCACGCACGCGCGCACACCCAACACGCACACGCACACGCAACACTCGCACACACATATACACGTACATATGCACATACATATACACACACACAAACACAGACACACACACACACACATTCACACACACACACACACACACCGACCCTGGGTCCAGGATGGGCCTGGCCAGGGTGGGGCGGTTGGTTGACGATTGACCTTTTGTGCGCAGTCGTCAGGGCGCGCGCGGGGGCCAAGGCCGCCGTCTTGCGGTCCACCGCGCGCAACGATCGGCGAGCCGCGCACCAGAGGCGACTCGTGCCCAGGGCCCACTCTTGAGCGCAGCCGATTGGCCTCCACACCCCGCCCTCTCTCCTCCGTCCTCCGAGCCTCCATGCCCTGCCCAGCCACCAGACATCCGACGATGTGCTCTTCATCATGCGCGGCCCCAGGGGTTCCAAAGCCTTCCCTGGAGGCAGTCTTTCGTCCCAGATCTCTTCTTGATGGCCCCGGGGGGGCCCGATCGGGGGCCCGACAGGGGGCCCCAAGAGCCAGCAACAAAGGAAAACGCTTGGATCGAGCGAGTCGCACTGTCGAATATCTCCGATCCCGCGGCCGGGGGCACGAAGATGACTGCGTTTAACGCGCCGCGGCCTGGGCCAGAGCGGTTGCGCTTCTCCAGGAGGCGCGAAGATACCATCGCGTCGCGCTTCGAGTGGCGCAATGCGCGAAGTTGGGTGGCCTACGATCCTCCCAGCTCTGCCCCCCCTTCTCAGCGTGGTTCGCCCGAAGTGGCTGCGGTTCGCCTGAGGTTGCCTGCGGTTTGCCATAGTTTTCGACCGCGCGCCCACTCGGGCCTTCTCCAGAGCTGCGCATCTTGCACATCTCGCACATCTTGCACCTCCCCAGCCTGCATCTCGTGCATCTTGCACGTCCCGCGCATCTTTGAGAGGCGGCCTGGCCGACCCCTAGCTAGCAAACCATTCCCTCCCGTGACGCCCTTCGCGCCTCGCCCCATGAACGTATCTGTGCGGCTGGAGGGAAGCTTGAAAGGCGAGGGGGACGTCACGGGAGGGGATGGTTTGTTGGGGTCAGGCCGCGCCCGGATCCTTCGGTTCGGGCCAGACGCAAGGGCAGGATAGAGGAAGGGGGGGTACGAAATCACAGTTGCATTCAGCTGGTTTCTGTCCCGCCGCTGGGCCCATCCCTCGATGCGTGGGCGCCTCCCCGGCGCCATGAGGCGCCAGGAAAGGCAGCTGCGCTCGCTATTTCTCTGGCCTGCCCCTGCTATCCTACCCTCCCCCCCTCTACTTTGCACCCCCCTCCCCGGGCCTCTGCCCCCTGCTATCCTAACCTCCCCTCCCCCCCCCGCCCCACCAGCGAGGTGGCCTCCCCCCAGGCCTGCCCCCCCCCCCCCCCCCTCCCTCCCCCCCCCCACGAGGTGCCCCCCCCCCACCCCCACCCCAGCTGGGTGCCCTCTGCTGTCCTGCCCTCCTCCTCCCTCCCCCGCCCCCCAGGCCTGCCCTTTGCTATCCCCTCCCCTTCCGACTCTTTGCACCCCCCCCCCCCCGCGAGGTGGCCTCCCTGGCCTGGGCATGCCGCGCCCCGGCGGCCTGCCTGGCCTGGCTGGCCTGCCAGGCGCGGCCTCCTCCGCCGCGCGGGCCTCTGCGGGCCGCCCTGCCCCTCGCGGCCTCGTCCCCTCCCTCCCTCCCTCCCTCCCCTCCCTCCCTCCCTCCCTCCCTCCCTCCCTCCCTCCTCCCTCTTTCCCTCCCTCCCTCCCTCCCTCCCTCCTCCCTCCTCCTCCTCCTCCTCCTCCTCCTCCCTCCTCCTCCTCCTCCTCCTCCTCCTCCCTCCTCCTCGGGTCGCCTACGGTCCCGGGGGAAACCGTGCACGCTGCCCCCCCCTTTTCGTCCGCCTCTGCGCCTGCTTCCGCTGGGTAGACATGAGCGTCTAGGCTGGAGCGTTCTGTCGGCGGGGAATAACACCGACTCAGCAGAGTGGTGAAGCCAATTCGGCGGCAGCCCCGTGCGGTACAGGAGCGGCACTGGCAGCAGGGTGCCTAGAGAGGGCGCAGCCCTGGTCAGACTCCACCACCTTTTCCTCCTCCTCCCCCTCCTCCTCCTCCTCTTCCTCCTCCTCCTCCTCTTCCTCCTCCTCTCCTCCTCCCTCCTCCTCCTCCTCCTCCTCCTCCTCCTCCTCCTCCTCCTCCTCCTCCTCCTCCTCCTCCTCCTCCTCCTCCTCCCCCCCCCCCCCCCAACGGTCCGCCTCGGCGCGCCTCCCGGCACGGCCTCTCCAGGCCTCGCTGCTGCCTCCTCGGCCCGGGGCCTCTGTCAAGCAGTAGCGGGGCGTCATCCGCTTGCCTGTAGGCCCGTCCGAAGAGTGCTCTGAGAACCTCCGGTGTTTTGCGCGAAACGTTCGCGGAACATTTCTGGCCGAAACCGTCCTTGTTTGATGCGTCGGCGAATCTTGATTTTGTTATTCGAATATTCCTCTGTTCCAGAACATATCTTGGTAGGCACATAGATGCACATAGGAATGCCGGAACGGTCGGTCCCTGAAAGATAGGGTCCGAGTGAGTGTGAGCGGCGGATCGTGCCGCATCGCCGATACATCGGCGATGCAGCTCGATGTGGGGCCAGATTCTCTTCAGGCCGCCTGCGCCGATGCGTCGATGACGTAGCCGTTGCATCGCCAATGCATCGGCGATGCATCGCCGATGCATCGGCGATGCAGCGCGATTCTCCGACCCCATCTACTCCGACCCTATCTAGGAGGCTTCTATCAGCAAACTCGACTGCCCTTCGATGCGTGAAGCTTGAGCGTTGGGGGGATCTTCGACGGTTCCCATTGGTTTTCTTGCCTCGGGGTGCTTTCCCGCAGCTGCGTCTTGCCGGGAGCGTTCCAGGGGTGCCCGAACGGTCGCCAGAGGCCTGACTTTTGGCACGATGTCCGTCCGGCGCGGCCGGTTGGTTTCACATGTTTGCCTCCAGAAGCCAGTTTCGGGCCTCGCGAGACCGTGGAAATCGGCCCGGGATCAAAAACCAGCCCTATATGTAAAGGGTCGACAGGCCCTGGAACCACGCATCGAACAATGGTCAGGAGGAAAAATAGCACAGACACTAACAATCGTCGATTCCCAGCAAAAATATTGCTCATGTGGGAAGTGGAGGGGAAGATAAACGTCCAGAACAGCTGGAAGAATACGAAGGGATCCTGGGACTTGTGTCTGCTTAACCGTGTGCCCCTGGGCCCCTTCATGGGTTCTCTCGGGTCGCAGCGACGGGGCTACAGTCGGGGCGCTGAAGAAGGAACCCCTTTCGTTTTGGAGGGGCTCAGTGTCCCTTAGTTGTTTTACAGTTCGCCTTCGGTTTTCCTCAAGTATTCGGTGGGAAGTCGAAGTTCAACTTTTGGAAAAAAAGGAGCCTCGTTCTTTATTTAGAGTTCCTTAGGTCAACGCCCCGGCTGTGCGAAATCTGCTGCCGGCGGATGGTCCTGACCCCGCCGACGGGCACTCTCTGCTGGATGCCTCGGCGCCTCCGGCGCGGGGAGGCGCCCAGGATCGGCACGAACGAGATGGCTACGGAAAGAATTGGTACAATACCCAACAGCAGGATCCTGGTCATTTTGAACAGGACTCGCTGTCCGCGCCGCCGCGGCCTGTGTCCATTTGAGACGCAAGGCCGCCTGCCCAACAGCGGCCGCTGTTGGTTTGGGACAACATTTGTTGTTGCGCATTGTACCCGTTTGTTATGTACCCATGTCGGGCGTCCAAACAGGACGCCGGCCGCACACGCCGGATTCGCCACCCCGCCGCTCCGCTGCCCCCCCTTTTTGGATGGTTTCTCCGAAGGGCTGAGGCGACCCGTCCTCTTCCTCCCTCCTCCTCCTCCTCCCCCTCCTCCTCCTCCTCCTCCTCCTCCTCCTCGGGTCGCCTACGGCCCCGGGGGAAACCGTGCACGCTCCCCCCCTCCCCTTTTCGTCCGCCTCTGCGCCTGCTTCCGCTGGGTAGACATGAGCGTCTAGGCTGGAGCGTTCTGTCGGCGGGGAATAACACCGACTCAGCAGAGTGGTGAAGCCAATTCGGCGGCAGCCCCGTGCGGTACAGGAGCGGCAATGGCAGCAGGGTGATGACAGGTGGTCCGATGACCTCTTTAACCCCGAAGACCTCAGAAGACGATCTGTCACCGGATGGTTTTGTGATGCGGCTGTGCGAGGGTGCACAAGGGCGGAGGCCATTGACGCAATAATGCGCCATCTCCAAGTTGCAAAACACAATGGCGCAACGCTTTCGCGTTTCAACGCAGCGTCGCCGTGCCGAAAATGCAGCGTCGCCGCGTTGCATTTTTTGTCGTGTGCATATTTCGCAAATGCAGCGCTTCCGTGCTGCGGGAATGTACAAGCGCAGCGCTTCTGGTTTTGACGCAACGCTTCATGTTTTTAGATTGCAGCGCAGCGTTTCCCACGTTGCAGTCGCTTTTATGCGGCCCATTGTCGCCAGTGCGCTGCTGATTATCCTCACCCTGAGGATAGAACTAATCCCTGAGGACAGCACAACTCATTCCTACCTCCAGCCAGGATCCCCGCTCCCGAGCTGGTGATTCAGGGGGTCCTGGCTGTGGGTGGGAGTGTGTATTTGGTGCTTTTGTGAGCAAGAAAACCATCCTCATCCCCAGCCAGGACCCACCCCTCGATTACCAGGTCGGGAGTGTGAATCCTGGCGGCAGGAGGTGGGGGTGGGTTGTGCTATTCGAAAGAGCGCCCTCTGCCCTCACTGGCAAAACCCCCGCGGTTCGAACCGAGCTGGGTAATAAAACACCGTTCCGTTCCGAACCAGGGGCGACCTCCTCTCCTGCCGGAATTCGAACCAGAACACGGCAGAAAGGGCGAATCGTTCATGTCATGCCGTGCAGCTTCGCCCATTTGACTGACAACATGTTAAAACAAAACCTGTACATCATTCGCACAAAGCTCCACAAAGCACAGCGAAAACCCTAACAAGACTCCAACACAGCCCAACCGCAGCCCCCCACACACACACACACACGCACACACACACACGCACACACACGCACACACACACACCTCAAGCAATGCTTCAAGGAAGAGCAGCACAGCTCGAACAGAGCTCACGCAAATCTCAAACAAAATTCCAGCAACGCGCAAACAAAGCTCAAACACAGCTCACACAATGCCCGAACAAAGGTCGAGCAAAGCTCCCTACAAGCTCCAAAAACGCTAACACATAGCCCAACACCTACACGAAGCTCCAATACGCCTCACACAAAGCTCAACCGAAGCCCCATTACAGCGCAAGCGAAGCTCAACCAAAGCTTTCAACAGCTCATGCAGAGGCCTCACACAATTCGAACAAAGTGTGAGCAAAGCCCCAATAAAGCACCAACGGCGCTGCAACGAACACCAGACACACCAAACCAACAGTTCCTTCAAAGGCGCGGCAAAGCACAAACGCAGCTCGCACAAAGCTCAAGCACAGTTCAAGACAAGCTGAAACACAGCCCAAGCAAAACCCAAACACAGTTCCAACAAAGCCGAAACAACGCCCGCACACAACTCACACACACACACACACCTCGAGCACGCCACACACAAATCAGTTACAGCTCAACCAGAGCTTCATATAGCTTGCACAAGGGTCAAACAAACGAACTCCACCACATTTCAAACAAGGCTCACGCGAAGCTCCAACTCATCTCAACCATAGCTCAACCTATGCTCATACAATGTTCGATTGGACGCACCTAAGGGTCCACTTGGATGTTCGCAACTAACATGGTCACTTGCCTACTGTGGAAATGCATAAACCCTCGCGAGAACAGCCGATGGCAGATACTGCGCTGTAAGCAGTCAGCAAGGGTGGCGAGAGACAACGGAGCGCGCGGCGGCCTGGCCTGCAACGCAGAGATGCGAAGGCCGCGCCTGCGCGGAGCCCACCATGCGCAGGAACAATAATGCATGGAATGGCGGGGCCATGGCGCCCATGGCCCACGCTGCAATGTGGCGCGCGCTGTAGGAGGAATGGGGGGGGGGCGCACGCTCGCGCGTGGCCCTGGCGCCACTTCGGCGCGGCCGCCTCGCCCTCGTTTGCAACGAACGCGCAGCGCAGGGGGGCTGGGGCCTCCAGCGCGCGCGGCCATTCGCCCGTTCGCGAGAGAAAATCATTGTGCGCGGGGGCGGGGGCCGCCGCGCGCGCTGGCTTATTTTCCGAGAACGCAGCGCAGGGATGCGAGGGCCGCGCGCTCGGTGCCCGTGGCCCACGGGGGCGGGGGGCGGAGCGAGGCGATGGCAGCTGAAGGAGTGGGGGGGGTCGGAAGCGCGCGCGCGGGCCGCGGCCGGCTGCTCACGCGCCATGCGCGCCCATGCAAGATTAACAGGCCAAGGGCAGTGCGCGCGCGGCCCTCTCCCCTGGGCACTGCGTCGGTCGATGGCGAGTGGGCGGGCGCGCGGGCGCTGCGAGCCGAGCGGGGCGCCTGGGCGGCGCGCGCTGCGGGCGCGCAGTAGTTTTCACTGACAGCGCGGCGACCCCTTCGCGGCAGGCGGCAGAGCGCGCCGCGCCGCGCTGCGCGTGGCAGCGCGGGCGAAGCCTGGATATTGAGTTAAACTGTCAATGCTGCGCGCGCTGGGCCCCCCGATCGCATTGCCGCGGCCGTCGCGGCGAAGGCGTCATTTTGGCCGATGGAAAGTTCAGCGGGACCGCCGCTCGTTCGCAGCGGCCCGCGCGCGCTGCGCAATGCAGCGGGCGCGCGGGGACTGCGCATCAGGTTGGGAAGTCGAACGGTCCGCTGCAAGGGCCCGTTTGAGCATTCAAAAGCAGCGTTGCCGCCAGTCCATCTTGGAACGCGGGCAGCACATGACCCACTGCGAATGGGAAACCACAGCGCAAGGGGGTGGGGGGCCACCGCGCGCGAGCGGCCCTGGCCGATTGTGGTTTGGAAAACGCATTGCAGCGGGGCGGGGGCGCGCTCTGGCAGCCCATGGCCTGTTCGGCACAGGAAACCACAGAGCAAGGAGGTGGCAGCCGTCGCGCGCGCGGCGGCTCTGGCCCATCTGTAATCGGTATTGGAAAAACAGTGCAAGGGCACACTGTGCGCGCGTTGACGATTTAATTGTCGACGTGTGCTGGGTGCAAGTTTACCGCAGAATTGCCACTGTGTACCGATGTCCCCACGCAACCCATCTGCAGACCCGTGTGTTGCGGCGGCGCCAGTTGCGCCTCATCGTTGTTTCCCAGACGACGCCAAATTACAACCGTTGACGCCATTTGTTTTTGGAAAGACATGCCTTTTTCCATTACATATGCAACCCGGCTGAAACAGGACTTTGGTTTGCCGCCGCTTGCTGACGGTCCCAGCATCACGTTGGACAGTTTCGTTTTCGTGAGGTTTCTGCAGCGGGAGCCTGCGGCTGATTTCAGAGTAGATCTTGTAGTTTTTTCTGATTGCCCTGTCGGGCAAGTTCGAGTCCCCCGTCTTCGGGGAAGAAAAAGCGCCTCCGTCCCCACCTGACTTTTTCATCCCGTCTGGGGCCGTGCCAGAGAGTTTCGGCTCTCGCTTGCGAGGATGAACGCGGTGATATCCCAACCCCACCTGGCCCACCTTCGTGGAAAGGGGGGCCAGGTTTCGGTGACGCGCCGAGAGGGGAAGTGAGAGGGGGCAGGCCTTTTTCATGATGCGGCTGGGATTCTCAGGAGACCCCCAGCCTTGTGAGAAGTCGCCCGTGGCTTCAGAGAAGGTTCAGGACGCTTCTCACATGGCCGACGGGACCTTCTGGGATGGCTCGCCCCCTCTGCCGTACCCCTTGGGCACACGCCGACTTCTGCTCCCCTGGCGCGCCTCCCTGACGTCTCCTCTGCGACCTCTTGCGAACCCTACCCTGCGGGTCCCATGGACGCTTGGGTATCGGACACCCCCGAAGGGGTTCACTTGGCTGCAGACATCCCTCAGTTTTTCTCGGGCCGCGCGAATGGGTAAGATAGGGAAGAGGGGTTACGACATCTGCGGCATGCAGCTGGTTTCCGCCCCTCTGCGGGGCCCAGTCCTTGATACATGGGCGCCTCCCGGCGCCAGCAGGCCCCAGGAAAACCAGCCACGTGAGCCGATTCTCCTCCCTGCCCTCTGCTATCTACCCTCCCGTTCCCCCCGGTTTTGCACCCCCGCCAGTTGAGCGACGTAAGAAACGGGGTCGTTTTCGCCGACATTGGCGCGTAAGCTATCCGCGTATGGCCTCGCGTAAGCGCCTTCGTTTCCAGTGTAACGTGCCGCGCTTGCGGCCCGCGTAAGCCACCGCGCAAGGTCGTTGCGCCACCTCGCGTAAGATCTGTTCTTGATCCTCCCGAACACGACAGTCCTAGCCTTACAGCTGTATATCAGGTGCCGTGGGTGTCCGCGCAATGAGTGGACGACCATGGTACACAGGGAAGCGTTTCGTCCAATCTGAGTTTCGAACTTGTGCATGACCAGCGCATGTGGAAACACAGTTGTACAGCACTCTCAGCGCACACGCGCCTCTGGCGTATGACTTGTGTGCGTGTCTGTGCTCAGTCGTTCCGCAATCTGACATGCAGGGGTCGGGTGCGCGCGTGGTCGCCTGCTCTCCTCCCCCCGAGAGACCCGCCCGCGGAGGCCTGCCAGGGATGCCCGGCCTCGGGAGGCCCGCAGGCCGCCCGCGGCCCCGGCCCCGCCGGCAGGGGGCCGGGCAGTACCAGAGGGCCACGACAGGGGGGGGAATGAACCTCAGGAGGCCTTTGGTTGTTGCGGCCCCCCCCCCATGTTTCCTTCGGCGGGGGATGATATCGCCCCACCTCCTCCTCTTCCTCCTGCTCCTCCTCCTGCTCGTCCTCCTCCTCCTCCTCCTCCTTTTCCTCCTTTTGTTTAGCCGTTCTGGCACAATCCATTTTTGTGCATGCGATCACCGATCTTCAGAACGGCTGGGTGTTCGCGGGCCAGAGTGGCTCGGACCCCCCTTTCCCTCACGGCGGCGCTGCGATGGCTTTTGGTGGCAAGCCTCGTAGCGGCTACGACACAACCAAGAAGTGGACTTGCGGGCATTGCGGCTGCCGCAAAAACATGGGTCACTACTTGTGGTGCAAGCACTGCGGCAAGAGGTGGACTGAGCCCGTGCCAGGAGACGGGCAGGCCAGAGGAGGAGGAGTTCTCCGTGGAGCGGCTGCTGCTGAAGTCCGTCGTGCTGCAGCAGACGCAGTGTCGGGAAAGACTCCACCCGTGCGGCCTGCCACCGTCCCGACTGCGACCAAGACGGAGTTGCAGCAGCTGGTGGAGCTCAGCGCCAAGGTGGGGGACGCCTCCCTGCTCTCCTTGGCGCAAGAGAAGGTGGCCCAGTTGGAACAAACCCCTCTGCCCCCGCAGCAACGGGCAGATGCGGCTTTCAAGGAGATCCAGAGGCTCGAGAAGAAGCTGGATCGCGACCTGGACCACGTCCACGGCCTCGAGCGGAAGCTGGCTCAGCAGCGCGCAGACCTGGAGGCCACGCTGCAGGAGCTGGAGCGCTACGATGAGGAATACAAGTCGGCCATCTCAGAGTTGCACCTGTCGGTCACGCTCCACCCGTCGCAGCCACAGGAGGGCCCAGCCGCCCCAGTGTTGCGCCTGCAGGACATCCTGGATGGCAAGGTGTCCTCGCTCGTGCTGGACGATGGCGACATGTTCGGTTTGGCGGAGTTTCAGGACGTCACTCCTGAAGATCTGCGTGAAGCCCAGTCTCGGAAGGAGCAGCTGTCGGAGAGCATCAAGAGTCTCACGGCGGCCCTGTTCGGGGAGGTTCAGTCGAAGTGCGTTGAGCTCAAGAAGAACCACCAGGAGCAGGCCAAGCGGCTCGAGAAGAAGCGGAAGACGGATGCCGAACCTGCTGCTGCGGGTGTACCTGCAGGAGGTGCTGCGGCCGCCGCCGCCTCTGAGGCATCGGGAGCGTCGGCCTCTGCTGGTAGCAAGGCCACCCCAGCGCCGCCTGTCGCCCCTGGTGCCCCGCCTTCTAAGCCTGGCGCCTCTGTCCGTGCCCAGGCTCGTGAGGCTATCAGCAGGGTACCGTCCAAGGCGCCCCCCGCTGTCCCAGACGGGAAGGCGCCGCCACCAGCGGGCCCCCCAGCCAAGGGCGCGGCTCGTTCCTAGCCAGACCTGTGCCGTGCCATCACCCTTCTCCTACCCTAGACTCCCTACCTCCTGCCCAGTTTTGGATGCCCGCGAAACTCGTGTATGCATCGACCTTGGGACCAAGGAGATTTTGTTGCTGCTCAGGAGTCTATTGAACTGGAGATAGTGACGGCTAACGGCACCGCTTGGAGCTCGCTCAAGCAGTTTTTGGGTATTACCTCTGCCCACATCGTGCTCGCCCAGGAGCACAAGTTCATTAGCGCTGAGGACATCAGGGAGGCTTCGGCCTGGTGTGTGCGAAACGGGTGGAAAGCCAGCTTCGAACCTGGAACCTTGGGGCCTGGGGGAGGCCCCTCGCCTGGGGTCGGGGTCCTGGTCAGGTCCTTCCCTGGGTTGCACCACCTCGATTTTGGTCCCACGATTCGGCCCCACAGGGCCCTCGGAGCGCTCGTCCACCTCCCAGGTCAGGCCTCTTTCTACATTGTTAGTGTCTGCCTGCAGGATTGCGTTGGACTTAGTGATTTCAATCAGGATATTCTTGCTGGAGTGGCGGCGCGAGCAAAGAGCATTACTGTGCCGTTCGTTGTCGGAGCTGACTTCAACGTGGAGCCCGCCGTGCTGGCAGGCTCGTCTATTCACAGAAGGCTGGGAGCTGACATTGTGTACCCCCCTGGAGCTGTAGGCACCTGTCGTAGCACTGGGGGCGTGAAGATGTTCGATTTCTCCCTCTGTTGTTCCCGCCTTGCGCAGGCGATCAAGGGCGTGAAGGTAGTGAGTGATTCGGAGTTAGCGACACATGACCCTGTCCCCCTCACCTTCCACCCCTCCCTCGCGTCTCTCAAGGCTTTGACCTTTCGACGTCCCCCACCCTCCCCCATCAGGCCCGCGGGGCCGTGCCCCGAGCCCCCTTCCGAGTGGGGAGTTTTGGATCGGCTGGCCTCGCGAGCCCTGGTGTTGGCTGAGAGTGGGGGGCTGATGTGACCCAGTATCATCTGGACACCATCTACAAACATTGGGCCAACACGGCTGAAAAGGAGCTCGAAGGGGTATTTCAGTGCCGTCTCTCGCACCACGGTAGTCGTGGCCGCCAAGCGGAGCTGCACTGGGTCAGCGTGCTGCAGTCGGGCACGGCCTCGATGGAAGGTGCTTCGTCGACGTCGCAGTTGGCCTCGCAGCTCCGCTGGCTCAGCAATCGCTTTCGGCTTTGGTTGCAGCTGTACGCCTCAGGAGCGTCGACGGCTGCGCCCGAGCCCCCCTCCTCCCCGCGTTTTGCTCGTAGCAGTTTAATCGAAAAAAAAACAGCCTCAGGACGCGCCGAGCACAGCTCGGCACGCAGCAGCCATCTTTGTGCCACGGCTGCTGAGCTTTTCAATCCCCCTGTCAGGCTGGGAGAGTGGAGCGGCCACGCGGCCGCGCTGCTTCAGCGTTGCAGGGATGTCGTCACCCACAGCCCCCCTGGTCAGCCCGTCGTCTATGGGGAACCCGAGTATGCCCTGGATGCGGTCTCCCAGGCCCAAGCTGTGGCTGAGAGTGAACATCGTAATGTTGAGAACCGTAAGTGGGTGTCTTGGCTTAAGACCAATATTGAGTCTGGGGCTCGGCGCGCCCATGGGGTTGTTCGAGGGGCCCCTGCGTGGGCCCCCCCCCCCCCCCACCACCACCACCCTCAGCGTCAAAGGTGAAGTTGTTTCGGACCCACAGGCCCTCCTTGAGTCTGAATGTGCTAAGTTTTCTGATCTGTGGCATGCCGAAGACCAGCAGGTTTCCCCGTCGACTGGCGCCAGGTTCGAGGCGCTCGAACCCCTGCCCGAGTTGACCCCAGCTGACCTTCGCCGTGTCTCTGGGTCTTTCCCGAAGCACACGGCCACCTCGGTCGACGGTTTCCATGTTAGCCACTTCCAGCACCTCTCGGATCAGGCCCTTGTCGTCCTCTCCCGCCTCACCGCCACGTTCGAGAAGTCAGGGCACTTGCCAATGCAGATGCGCGTTCTGTTGCTCATCATGCTTGCCAAGCCAGACGGAGGGCACAGACCGATAGGATTATTCGTGTCAGTTTATCGTCTTTGGGCCCGTGCCCGTCGTGAGTATGCCCGCAGGTGGGAAGTGGCTAACGGCAGGGACTTCTTCGCCGCGGGCTCTTTTGCATCGAGCGTGGACACTGTCTGGCGGCAATGCGTTCGAAGTGAGAAAGCTGTTTCGTCCGATTTATGTTCCAGTTCGGTGCTCTGGGACCTTCTCAAGTTTTATGAGTCCGTCGACTTGGATATGTTATTGCAGCGTTGCCGTCAGCACGGTTTCCCCATGCAGATTGCGAGAGTTTGTGATGTTGCTTACCGCGCCTGCCGCTACATCGCCATGAACAGCAGGGTCATCGGGCCCAAGTTCGCATGGCGAGGACTAGTGGCAGGCTGCGGCTTCGCGACCACTTTAACCCGTGTCTTCAGCATAGCCGCTTTAGATGGGCTTAGCTTGCCAAGATCGGTCTCGTTGAAGATATATATCGATGATTACACCCTGTCTTGCCAAGGGGCCGCCTCGACGGTCGTTAATGACCTCCTGGAGGGGGCCATCAAATTGCAGGTTGTCATCGAGGGCGATCTTGGCTGCGCGATCGCTGTCAAGAAGGCGGCAGTGCTCGCCTCTCATTCTGCAGTTGCTAAGGCCGTGCGCCAAGGTCTTGGCACGGTGGGCGGAGCGCCGTGTGACTCCGCTGTCAACCTCGGCATCGACGATGCTGCTGGCAGGCCCCGTCGCGTCGCTCGTCGTGGTGGAAGGTTTAAAGTTCGTAAAACCCTGTTTTCGGCCAAGGTTGCTCGTTTGGCTCGACATAAGAGAACCCTCGGTCGTCACCCGCGTCGGGTTTTCACGACAGGGCCCCTTGCCAGCCGAACCTACGGTTGCGAGGTGCACGGCACATCGGACCATGAGCTTTTCACCCTGCGGAGAGCCATGGGCCGTTTCTTGCAACCCTCCGCTGGAGGGGGATCTCTCACGGCAGCTTTGCTGTTTGCCGCCGACCCCACCTGGTACGTGTCCGTCGCGCCCATTGTGAGGTGGTCTAAGGAGGCCTGGGCTTGCCTGGTGGGGGCCTACCAGTTCGGCCTCAGCTTGGCCGAGCTCCGCGGTGCCTGGGCTGTGGGTTTCTCGGGGCCGCTTCAGCCGTGGCGTCGCGTGCGCGGTCCTGCGGGGGCCCTGCGGCCCTCGGTGGAGCGTCTTGGGTGGAAGGTGCCTGGTTTCAGCATGCTGGTCGACGACCTGGGGGTGGAAGTCTCCCTTGCCCTGGTTTCGCCTTGCCTCCTGAAACGTCTCCTCCGTGCTGCTGTTTTGAGGAATCTGGAACGTGAGTATGGGCGGTCCCTGGGCCTGGATCGTCGCGTGTGTTTCGACGTGGCCGCCGCGGCCATGAGTTCTTCAAAATTCACTCCCTTCGAGAAAGGGTGCATGAGAGGTCTTGTCTGCCAGGCGCCCTGGGCCAAGGCGCGAGCCGAGGGCCACGGCTACATCATGCCTGACACGTTGTGCCCGCTGTGCGAAGTGGCAAGGGACACCAT